TTTAGAAGGTGCGAAGAGGATTAAACTTTTTTTTCGACAGCATCTTATGGACATATGAATCCAGCTTTAACCGAAATGGAATATTCGACATGCACAATTTCCATTCACGGAGCGTGGAAAATCCACACGCTATTCGCCGACACAGCTTTCAACGTCAGTTCGGCGTTAATTTATGGGCTGGAGTACTCAACAAAAAATTAATTGGACCATATGAATTGTCCGCCACAAAACACTTCTCATGGTCTAATAATTTTTGACGATATATATACTTGATTAGCTATGATAATTTTGACATTGCCACGATAATTTGAATATAGAAGATGAATATAATCAGATGTCAAAATTATCATGTCGAATCGAGTATATCGTCACAAGGCGCTATCGAAATCAATTTCAACCGTCGAAACTCATTTAGAATCAAGCCCCTGAAGGTGACTTGGTGCTATTTCCGGTGCTCTGGTGTAGGAATTCTGCGGCCCACTGCCCGATTCTGTGAAATAGTCATGGAGACACCAAATGATGACGAAGATAGTGATAAAGTAGAAATTGAGAAAATATTGGATGAGAAAAATTTTTGTTTAAAGGAAATACTCAAACTAAAAGACTATACAATATCAATTCAAGGCAAATTGACCAAGGAATTATATGTATGAAAAGATTGAATCATTAAAAAGGCAAATTGAAGATTCAACGAAAACGACAAAGAGATGTAAACCTTATTCAGATATGGCCAAAGACACAGGACAGCAACATTCAGTTGTTAACTTAATACCACAAATACAAGCGGGTGTTCTAGAGCAGTCCCTATCTTTTAGGGATGTGAAAAATGGACGAAATATTGATCCAAGTGAACCAACAATGGCATTTAAGGAATCCAATAATATTAACAATGTGGTTGTTTCTCTACCTGAACTACAAACTACAATTGTTATAAAACCAGTTACTAAAAATCAAAATTGCCTTCAAACAAAGAATTAATGTTTCTATAACAAAAATTACCCATTTGAAAGATGGAGCTGTGAAAATTGTATGTAAGAATAATGAAGATATCTCTAAATCGAAAATAGAAGTGGAAAAAACATTGGACAAAGTTATAAAATTACAAGTATTAACTGTACTGTAAAGAATCTAATTCAAAATATAAAACAAATTTCGACATACACCATTCACCCTTTAATAAAATTTGAAGCTTAGTCCAAATGGAACATAAAAAAATACAAGCCAAAGCATATTACAGTGATAAACCATAGCAATTACAGATACAAGAATATGCAAACTATATTTATCATATAAATATTCAAGGATTTCTATCTAAAAAAGATGTGGTTTTACATTACTTGATGGCAGTGAAGCCGGTAATGCTGTGTTCAACTGGAACACATCTCACATGGGATATTGACGAGGAAGAAATTGATTTTGAAGGCTATCAAATTGTAAGAGCAAACACAATTTCCAGACATACAGGTGGTATATTATTATATATTTTATGTGAAATAGAACTACAACTAGAGTACATGAAATGGTAGCTGTTGAGTACCAATGGTGGTATATCAATGTTGAATTGAATCTTAAGCACAATTATAATTTACACATTTACTACAGATCTCCAACTGGAAATATAAACAGATTTATAGATTTTTTTCGAAAATATCTGTAAAAAATTTTTTTATCTAAACTGCATCACGGTTCATTTCGACGATTTTAATATAAATTTTGATAATCAAGGCTTCTAAGCAAAGAAATTTAAACAGGTACTCAGTTATTATGGCCTATGGCAAAAAGTCTATAATCACACCAGAATCACAAATCAATCAAGAACAATTATAGATTTGATAATAAAGAACGAACAAAACTTTAATTGCAAAAGTTATGCTTACTCCTAAGATCAGGGATAATTCATGGATATGTTTTGAAGTTGAAAGTAAATTTGATGCTAACAATGTGGAAGAAATTACTAATATTAACTATGTAAAATTACGAGAACCTCTTTTACCGCAAGATATGACTGAAGCGTATGTTGATATTGATAGCTACTATATAAGCCTATTGGATAATGTTGAAGTTTGCATAAAAGAAGCTACAGTCAAGAAAAAAATTTATAAAAGGAAAAATCCAACACCTTGGTTCTCGCAGACGTTCAAGGATTCTAAATTAAAAAGAGACTACAATTATAAAAAGTTTATGATTATTGGAAGTGAAAATGATTGGCTAGAATACACAAGATCAAGAAACCAATCTGTAGCAGTTCTACGAGATAAAAAGAAAAAAATGTTACAATGCCAAAATTGATCAGAGTAAAAATAATAGCAAACATATGTGGAAAACGTTGAAAAACATTGCTTCTCCTATTAGAAAAAGTAGATTAGCTAAAATGGAATTCGACGATGGGGTAATAACAAATGAAGAAATAATAGTAGATCGAATGAATACCTATTTCATAGAAAGTGTCAACGACACTGTAAAATCATTTATTGACGGGGATCCCAACCAATGTCCCATTAGCTCAGATTATAATGCATCACTCAGTGAGTTTATAACAATAAACATTAATAATCTCAAGAAGATTATATCAAAAATTAAATCAAATCAAAATAAGAGTGAGATTTTGTCTAAAAGTGTGCTTAATGAATGTTTTGATATTATTGGAGCAAAAATATTAATCCCTATAAATTACTGTTTAAAATATGGCGAATTTCCAACAAAACTGACGTGTTCCTCCCTAACTCCTGTTTCTAAAGTTAAGAATTCTGAGTTGTACACCAATAAATGTTCTGCCAGATGTTGAAAAAGTTTTTGAAGAAATTATTTACGAACAGATCATCGAATTTATTGAGTGAAATAACATTTTAACTAAATTTCAAGCTGGATTCAGGAAGAAACACTCAACTGAAACGGCAACACAAAAATGGTCTTAGAGGCTGGAGGGGATGTATGGACAATCGAAAACACAGAGTAACAGTGTTTTTCTACTTCAAAAGGGCGTTTGATACTATTGGCAGGGATAAATTACTTACAAAATTGCATCACTACGGATTTAAAGGATCTGTATTCAAAATTCTACGAAACTATTTAATTGACAGAAGAAAAAACCAAAATTGGATCTACATTATCAAGATCAAAAAATATTTCTGTTGGTATACCACAAGGTAGTAAACTAGATCCACTACTATCTATTTCATACATTAATGACATTTGTAATATTTTAGATTATTGTCAACTTCAGATATGTGCAGATGATAATTAATACACATATCAGATGAAGATATTGACACTGCTTTAAAAATGCTAAATTCTGACTTGGCAAAAATCGTAAATTGGTTAAATGTAAATAAACTAAAATTGAATACTTCTAAAACAGGGAAATACCTAAATGAAAATACTATCACAGTTAGGTATATATATTGATAGTAAACTAAAGTTTGAGGATCACTATGATACATGATTTCAAAAATAGACAAAAAAAAACAAATTACTTTTATAGGGCTTCTCATAGTCTTGGTACCTATTCCAAGAAAATTTTTTATAATACAATTATTCTACCGCATTTACTATATTGTTCAACTATCTTGTTCTCTGCCAATGAAGCTGTATTCTCAAAATTACAAGTCTTGCAAAATAAGGCTAAGAGAATAATATTGAATAAAAATAAGTACACCAAAATAAAATCTATGTTACAAGAATTGCAGTAGTTGAATATAAAAAATTTCATATAATATTTGGTTCTTATTTTTATATTTAAAATAAAAAATCATCTTTTGCCAGAACATTTAGAACACTACATAAAATGGAATAACCATTACCACAATTATTATACAAGAGGAAATATAGATTTTCATTTACAAAATTGCAATAGTAATATAACTAGCAAATCAATTTTGTAGAAAGGATTGCTTGAATTTAATAAACTAAATAATGATATAAAGTCTACTTGTAATTTAAAGATATTTAAAAGAAAATTAAAGAAATATTTCATTGACAATGAAAATTCTTAGAGATGCAATTTTTCTGAATATCTGTATGTTATGTAATTGTTTAGTTTTATCTTGCTAAATAAATCTTAAACAAACAAACAAACGCTGAGTTGCGGATTAGAGGTGGTGGGTTTTTTCATTAGAACTCTTGGTGGTTTTTTTTTGTCAGAGTCTTTTTCTCACCCCCTTGAGGATTTAGCCGTGGACATATCTACACTCAACCATCGAGCTGAGGGGTACCGTCTCCAGGGATTGTCCGAGGCGAATTGTTCGAGGGTTCTACCTTCAGGTTGCTTACTGGTAAAAGCCAAGCACCTGTATAGGTGGTTTTCTTTTTTTTTAATATTTACCTAGGGGGGGTAATACACAAATATATTCTCTTTAGTCTGTCCTCCAGAACTTCACTTTAAAGTTTTGTTTTTATTTTTTTGTTCAATAAATGTCTGTGTGCCTTGTGGGTTTGTGTCTCCTTAGCTCCAGAGACCCACCAGTTGTTACTTTTTATTTCAATTCGTAGTTTTTGAAACTAGGTACCGCCCAAACCGCAACGGCTTTGTATTCAAAAACCAAGGTACAAAGAACCTCACCTCATATCTACCGACTAACCTTGTTCTGGCGGGATAACAAAGTGATTGTTACCAGCAGAAATACAAAGCTCAACTAAAAATGCAATAACAAGATAGCCATTGAACCAAATATGTCTACGTTGCAAATTCTACAAAGGTGAAGCTCCGTTCATTCTGCTGATACTTGATTTATATGACTGGCATGGACACACTCGAGGACCGCCCCCGAGACTCATCGTCTTATTGCAATGCATAACAGTCAAAATTCAACAAAATCGGCATAAGAATCTTTGAGATAATATTAATAAGACCAAACATTTTTGTGAACTTTGACACCCTGTATCTTAGTAACCAGCCTTTTTGGGACACATGTATATATGAACTTTTCTAACTATAGGCCCAGGAATCCGCACCTGTAATTGAAGTCATTAAATAACATCCTGTATAAGCATAAGTTACAAACCTGTTAACTAACGAGTATCCATGGTCATCCCACGAGTAGTCTTGTACTCTAAATATTGGTGTACTATGAGGATCACTTCTCTTAGCAAAATCTTGATATATAAAGGTTGAATCGTCTACGAAACAACCGATGTCAGCTGGCGTTTCCTGGGGCTCACTACCAACAACAGCTAAAAAAGAAAACTACGGTGTATGGATTATAAAACGACTACACATGGTGTCAACAAATGCAAAATATCTGGAAAGGGCCATTCAAATGTCTAAAAACAATCATATAACTTGAGAAATACTGGAGCGATAGTCATAAAATTTTGAACAAGAAGCTGAACGATCGTTCCCTATCTGTTTTTATACATAAGCATTTCTAATTTTAAAAAATCAACATATCTCTTATACAGGTTGATCCAAAAGTCCCTAAAACGGCAAGATATTTAGGGATATTTAAGTGATATGATCAAAGCCTAATAGTGGAGGTTTAGAATTTTTCCCTGGCAATCCAGTAGTGACCTTGAATTTGATATTGAGTATGACCTTGAAGATCAAATCAATGCCAAAACAATGTTGAACTCTATACATTTAACCCCGGAAACGCATAGAACGGAAAATGTTTCATTTATACATGACCACCGGTGAAAGTGAAAGTAAATTTTTCGGTTTTATCCGATTCCGGGGTCAAAAGTATAAGGTACCATGTAAAAAATGTCTTGGCATTGATATGACTATGACATGTTCAAAGTCGGTTTCAAGGTTACCAACGAACAGCCCGAGAAATTGACGCCCCTGCTGTCGTTGATTCTCTATTATTTTTAGAAACATGTCTAAAATGTTCACGGAGACCTTGGCAACCACGTTCAAGATTAAAATCATTTTCGCCTAAAGTTATAGCTAAACGTAATATTTCCTGTTCTATTTCTGGGGTATAGTAGTATTATAGGGTACGATTAAAAAATTGTATGGTATTGATTTGGCCGTCAAGGCTCAGTTCCAAGGTCTTTCGTGAATAGCCTTAACAACCGAAGCTTCTACTGCCTTTGGCTCCTTATTTTTACTTCATCTTCCTTTCAAGATCCTTTCAAGCGAAGCTTTTTTACGATGACCTTACCCGTTCAAGGTATAAAAGTTCTACCAAGATCATATCTAAACTTCATACTTAAGGTCAAATTCTGGGTCACTAATGAATAGCCATGGAGAAGTACTAAAACCCCTTCCATTTTACTTTTACTATATCCATTGAATATTGTCAAATACCTTGCCATTTCGGGACTTTTGATAAAAATAAATACTCAAGCAGAAACTCCATCCAATCAACTTATTTACCACGATAATTCAACACGTCAAAATTTAACAACAAAATGGCAGTTTATGTTTGGTTGAATTAGTTCTAATACGCTACTGAATTTCCGAAACAACCTTAATTTTTAATATCTTTAATCTGCATAACTGACCATCATCAGTATTTTACTGCATTCTGCTTCCGTTAGTTTAAGAGACATTTTTGAAGATTTGATATAAATTGAACATAAGCACTAAAATAACTTGGGTGGATTGGATAGAAACCTATTTGTAATCAAGACAAAACATACAGGTGTCCGTAAATTGGAGAATCAGCCTGTAACTGGAAATAGGTCACACAATAACCTACTGTTTGGCAAAATTTTTTTTAGTCAAAATAATTTTTTTAGCAAAAATCTACCCTCGTGTAGTTAAATTGTCCATTTTATTCCTACACATATAAATTTTTGAGCAGGGTTTGTTTCACAATATTCACAATTCATTATTCTATCGAAATCAGTGTTGTTTTATTCTTATGCTATAGCAAAATCCACATGGAAGTCATTCTAATGCAGCATTTCAATGAAAACCAATTCATACGTTCAATTTTGACAGCCTGTAGTAACAAATAATGGGCCAGTATTACCGTATCAAATTCTTTAGAAAGTTAGTCATTTAATGTCATCCTTGCAATGGTACTATTGATCAAAAGTTTGTTTGCTATTTTCTTTTTTATGGCAACATTAGTTAAAGTTCGGCAATTTTACAAAATATCAAAAACTGCTTTATGGCGTGAATAGGAAGTAATGGCAGGATTGACTTTATGATCAGTAATTTTTTATTATATTCAGTAGATCAGGTATTCAGACTGGCCATCATTAGCCATTATGCGTGCCTCTTGATAATAGAGAATTTTTTTGTTTGACCGAATATCTTGTGTAAAATTTTTCTTTGGTGGCCGATCAGATTTTACCTCGCAACTGTACTATAACTTCTGTTTCATATACAATGTATTTTAGGCAATCTCAATAAAACATCTATTCTGATCCAGCGATCTTGGTGAATACGTGATATGAGGATAATTTCTCATGCTTGTCTGGCTAATAAAACCAAAATGCTTATTGCGATTGTTACATCTAGTATTTGTGCGAAAATGTTTGTGAAAGTCTAACTGAAATGACTTCAGAAAATGAACCTATCAGGTAACGCTTTTCTAATGATCACTTTCAAATTTTGAGGTTGACTGTAACTGCACAGTTAAATCTTGGCCAAGACGAATGATCAACGGCAACGGCAACGACAAACGACCAAAGGCAACGACGAACGACAAAAGTTTATTCAGATTGCCTAACTTTTAACTTGAACGCCAACTGCAACGCGAACGACCAACGGCGAATGTCGAGTTTATCGGACTTTACAGTATAGAAGATTCTGTCAATACGTGTGGTTTTATTGGCCAGACAACGACATGTAGACCACAGGATAAGTTTCAGATTTTACATTAACATGATATGAGGTATTGGCAATAGAAAAGGTGGCAGATATCGAATGGAGTTGACGGAGTGAACGATGACCACTCCACTTAAATTAGGAAAATAGCTTGTAGGATAGGCTATGCTCGGCCTATTCGGAATCACCTGAATCAACATTATCAAGGAAAGTGGATCGGACGACTTGGACCTAACCATAGGCCAGCAAGATCTTCGGATCTAAACTCACTAATTCTGTAACAGAGTTATGTGCGAACATCAGATAGACCTAACAGGAAATCTCGCAAAGGGCAAGCATAAGTGCATAAGGTGGCTACTTAGATAGGTAACCTAGTCTAGAGAATTTAATAAAAACTCACCATTACATCAATTCTGTCCGTATCTAGTATCAGAGAAGTATTTTTTATATTCAAGAAATAGCACGAGCTTCTATTGAAATTGCTATTTGGCATGGTGATCCTATTTAATTCTTTATGATTACAGGGTGTCACAGTCAACTGGTTTTCATTGGAGTGTTGCATTAAAATAGTTTTACGAACATTTCGCTACAATAAAAGAGAAAAAACAACACTGCTTTCGTTGGCAATATCAATAAAAAACACCAATGGATTCTGATCCCGCGATCTTGGTGAATACTTGGTATGAGGATAATCCCCCATGCTTGTCTGCCCAATAAAACCATATGTACTGACAGAATCTTGTTTACTGTAAACGTTTCAATCACAAACAATGACAATATATTTTATTTATCAGTCTTTCAGGCATTCCAGATCGTTTGTTTTTTTTTTCTTGTGATAGCCCAGGACCTCGTAGGGTAGGCATTCCCGTTCCAAAAAAGAACATCCAGCCCTCCAAAGCGACAAGCAAGCATGAGGGTATCTGCGTTTTTTAATATGCAAGATAGGTCATCCTCGTCCATCGTCCCGAAAACGCCAAAAGCCGTCAAAAAAAAAATAAAATAAAAAGGCGAAAACCCGCCCAGAACTGTTGTAACACACCTGTTAATTGTTATGCAGTCTTCGACTACATTGTTGCAAGTTCATTGTTTTGGGTCTGAAATTTGACAAATACTACTGCGATATCTAAAGGGAACCATGTTGTTTGTCCTGTGAGAAAATAATTTAAGGCACAACAGTTTGGCCTCGAGGTGGCAAAGCAGAATATCTGCGCGCTTGAGATCCAACAACAAACCATGAAAAAACACCTGAATTAAAAGCTCGCGGTTCATTAGTTAGGTCAGATAATATCAATTCGATCTTTTCTTCAAGGGTATTCAAATAAATTGGTTCACAGTTCACAAAATAACTAGAAAGACAATTGATTAATCTGATTTCTTTTCCTTCCATTTGGAACGCAAAAGAAGATCATTAATTTATTAAAAGCTGCATGGCATGCATAAGAGCACACTTTGAACATCTAGCCTAGAGACCTTAATGAAAACTCACAATTACAACATTAGTACTGTCCCTATTTCGTATCAAAAAAGTATTTTTTACAATTTCAAGAAACAAGACGATATCTATTAAAATTGCTGTAAAAAGCAAATAGCCAAAGGCATTGTACACTCTTTAGAGTAATTGGCACGGCGATCTTATTTTATTCTTCATTATTACAGGGTGTCAAAGTAAGCTTTTTTGAAGCTCATTGAAATGTTGCATTAAAATAGTTTTTTTTATGAACATTTCGCTAAAAGAGAGAAAAAAACAACACTGCGTTAATTGGACAAGTCAATTGTCAATATTTTGAAACCAATCCAGCCTAAAAAATGATATTTGTAGAAATTGCAATAATTCAACTAGACGAATGTCAATTTTTGCTAAAAAAATTGATTACCGCATAATCTCGAAAACCATGAGTCTTACGACTAAAAAAAATTTTCCCAGACAGTAGATCATGATGTGACCTCTTTACAATTGAAGAATTACATACAAGTGAAAAGATAGTGTCATGCTACTTTAATATTCATGTAGCATAATCAAAAAGATACTGTTATTATTAAGAAAAGTTTGTAATTGGAAAATAAAGAAATTATTACCATCTGATCGGAAAAAAACAGTTTTCTCCAACTAAAAATTGGTGTCTATCTGTACAGAACTTCCGAAATATTCATTTCCGGATTTTTGACTATGTTGCTAGTTGTTTTTAAATGGAACTGATGGAGTCATGCTACTTGGGGCTACTAGAGAATTAGTATCCGATAATAAAAAGGATACTATCAAATTTAAGCTTCTGTGTTGTTTTCGAATAAATTGTAAATTTGTAAACAATGATGTTTCTAAGATTCCTCTGTCTGACTGTCGCTAATTCAAACCACATGTGTTTTAATTACTGACTATTAGTCTGATATATATAAAGAGAAAATGATCATTCGGAGAAAGGTATATAACAAACAATAGGAAAATAATGGGCAAAATCCGCAAAAAGAAAAAAGCTTCTACGACAACATCCTGCTCGTACAATCACCGAACTGAGACAAAAGCTTCAAGAAATATGGGATTGTTTTACACCAAATTTTTGCCTAAACTTGGTTAACACTATGCCCCAAAGAATTTCAGCCGTAATAAAAAATAAAGGTGATGTTACCCAATGGCAATCTTTCAATTGTTGCTTTGTTAACTTCGCGCATGTATTCGCACATTGTTTATTTGTTCAGATGTTCTATTAGTTATAGGTCTAAGTGATTTCAAATATGTATTTTTACGACTAGAGTGTATCTAAAATGTTTTTGAGAAAATAAATTGTTTTAGAAGTAAATAGTTTCGTCATGTTTAGTTTATAAAGGCATATTTTGGTACAAATCTTGAAGTGGGCCAACTGAAGTGGGAAGGAGCTCGTATATATTTATATATATATATATACAAGAGTCTGGAGAAATCTTAAAAAAAATCACCACGCAATAAAAAGTGATAGACACATCCGCTTTGTTTAAAAATGTATATAATATCGTAATTCATTTACTCACAAATACGACAAGTTTTAGCATTAAAATAATATTCATCTTTCAAATGGTTTGTGATTCATATCGGCCTTATTGCCCTTATTACTCAATAAATTAGTAGTGATGGCCGGCAAACAGGTGTGTTGGGATAAACAATTGGAAATGATCAAAAACTACTTGACCAATCGACTGCAATTTTGTGGCGGTTTAATTTATTTTATTATACGGATTTGAGGAACTGCAAGTATCTGTGTGGTACTATCGTCGCATTACCAACATGTGCCAAAACCTGCATTTTGGCTAGGTCTTCGGCCATAACTTTACTGCTATTAGTCGTATCTTTTTATGTGTGGTGTCATTTTGTGTGTCTTGTAAAAATACCTAAAAATATTATTTTAAGATTTTTCGTTTCTGTCAACACTTTCGATTGAATTAAAAAAAACACGTTTTCTCATTCCTTATTGTTATACGGTAGCCTCTTTCAAGAACTTATGTGGTTTGAATTAGCGGCCGGACAATGGAGTCTCTAAACATGAAAGCCACAGGGTAAGTTTTAGATATTACATTATCGAGGTTTCTAATGTCAGATCGGTAATCATCAATCATATCTACGTTCAAAAGTTGGTGAATACCTATCAACTACTTCTCGACGTATTCGACGTTTGAAAACCCTGTATAATGAATACATACAAGTTACAGCTACAGAAATTTGTGGTAGGTAATATGAATATATCCAACTACATTCTCACCTATTTCTGCAGATTGGGTTTCGATATTTTCAAATCGTTTCGCTAATTCTACTGGTGTGCATTCTTCAGTCTGTTCAGATAGAGTCTTCATACGTTGTACTAAAGTCGTTATGGCAACTTCGGGTTCCGTTGGCGAAGGAGGTCCACCTGCAGAAGAATTTCTAATCTTTAACCAATTTGATTTTTCCATTCGTTATGTTCAGTCGTTCAGCGTCTTTTAATGAACGTTTTAATTCAAGAAATAAAGAGATTTTGTATAAGGAACTCCATTTGAGCAACAGTAAATTTTTTGGTGGTATCGTTGACCTTCAAATGTTATGTATGTCTCCATAAAAAGTGCTTCGGCATTATTACGGAGGTTTTTGTTGTGTTGCCGCAGCTACTGTGAGGATAGTAAGGCGAAGAAATGCAGCGGAGCCTTAGTACAGGCGATCCCGAGTGTGACAACGATGTAGTTTTGAAAAAGGAAAAAGGATTGTCTGAATAGCGAGAAGTGACTGTTCGAAAAAAATGCTAGTGACCGTGAATATACAATTGATTTGCAGAAGAATAGGGTAGCTGACCTCGAAGCGAAGTGTCTTCTAAATACGAGTGACAAAAAGATAAGTTTACCTGCCGACCAAAAAGTGGGTCCTATTTTCTATAGCCAAGCAGTAAAAACAAATAAACTGAATGATCTTCCTTCTTTAATAGTAAAATCAGCTGATGTAGCATTTATAGTAAACAAGTTGAGAAGGATTTCAAATCTAAATATACTCCTGGGTCTTTGAAGGTTTAATCATGACGCCAATTTGAATTTATCATTAGGAAGCAATGATTTAACCACACTATCAAGAAAATTTACTGTTGCGAAAATTGTAAGAAAAAAAAACACCTATTTCCTGGCCTATTTAACAGATAACCAAGTTACGATCCGTTTGTGTAATTGCTTAATAAATAATGTATATAATAAAGACAACTTTGATTCTCTGACTAACCTTTCAATTTTGAAATACATTTAATAAAAAAAACATAAATGCCATAAACATTAAAGTAATAGAACGTAGAACGCATAAAACCCAAACTATAGCTGTTGAAATTATTAATTTAGAATAGTGCCTACAAACGACGTATTAAACAAATGAATACACAAAATAATATGAAACATTTTGGTTATTGATTATTATCATAATCTTCATTTCCATAGCGACATGCATGGCACTGAGTGATGGTATGTACACCGCAAATTGTATTGAACCGTCGATGCATCTGGTAGTTGTTTTTCTTTAGATAGACATGGGGTCATGTCGCAACGCAACGGCAGTCGGTCTTTCTGGACGCTGGCCAAGCAGATTGAAAAAAACTTCTCACACAGTATCCTTCCACCACTGACGTGTCAGGATGGAACGATTGTAACAGACTCAAAGGTCAAGGCGGAAGTGTTTGCCAAGATCTCTGCTGCCAACTTCACCATGGACACCATGTCGCTCGACATCAACAAAGCTTCTGGTCCGGACTTGATTCCTGCCATTGTACTAAAGAGGTGTGCACCGGAGCTCGCTCCAGTTTTTTCGCGTCTCTTCCAGATATCTTATAAATCCGGCACCTTCCCAGAAAACTGGAAATTTGCTCATGTCCAACCCATCCGAAAAAAAGGATCTAAGACCGAGAGGTGCATAAATCGCGAGCTTCTGGACTACCTCGAACGTCACAGCTTGATTAGCGACATGCAGTATGGTTTCCGCCACCAACGATCCACAGGGAACCTCAGCAATTGTGGAGTAAACTCATCCAGTCTTATGGTGAGGCACATGTCGTTGCTCTTGACATCACGAAAGCGTTCGATCAGCTGTGGCACTCTGTAGCAAATTTCCATCATATGGCCTCCCAGAAAAGCTTTGCAGATGGGTGGCTGACTTTATCTCTGGCCGCAAGATATCCATCGTAATTGACGGGTTCTCCTCTGCATCCCACAACGTTAACGCGGGTGGTCCCTAGGGATCGGTCTTGGCTCCGACTCTGTCTCTCTTACATATCAACGACCTCCTTTCCTGCACGATCAACCCAATCCACAGCTTCGCTGATGATAGCACTCTACATGCAGGAATTCAGAGTGACAAGCCGATCTCTGCCGCTGAGCTGGAAAAAAATACTAGCGACGACTTCCTCTCTGACAAGAGACCTGGAGCCTATCACTGCTTGGGGACGCATCAATCTTGTATAGTCCAATGCTTCTAAAATACAGCACTGTACTTTGACGAACAAAAAGCGTACTAGCGCTCATCCGGTTTCGATGGATGGCCGAGTTCTGCCAAGTCATTCATCTCGGCTGGTCGGAGTCCAGATCACCGAGGACCTGATCAAGCACGAACACATTTCGTCAATAGCTGCAGCTGCTGGGAAAAAGCTAGGCTATTTGTTTAAGGCTAAGAAGTACTTTTCTCCGCATGACCTTCTCACTCTATACCAGGCCCAGATAAGGCCTAGCCTCGAGTATTGCTCACATGTTTAGGGTGCTGCCGCCCCGACTACATTATCCATGCTCGATGCTGTCGAGAGGAGGGCGGTCCGACTGATCGATGACTCTTCTCTAACAGACAGTCTCGCGACTCTTTCGCACCGGCGGGCCGACGGCGATCTAGCTCTTTTTTACCGCTACACCAACGGGCTTTGCTCCTCAGAGCTCTCTTCCATGATGGCGCCGCGCGATGTGCCTGCCAGAGAGACCCGCCTAACTTTGGCGTCCCATCCTAACCGTGTCGAACCCCGTACGTCCAGAACTGGCCGATAAGACCGCTCCTTTGTCCCGAGGGTGTCGAGATTGTGGAACAATCTACAAGAAGAAGCTTTTCCCAGTTCTACTAACGTGTTCTTACTACGTGAACAGAAAATACATTTGATCCTTTCGCTTGAACCTGCAACTTGGGCTCCTGGTTCTTCAGCTGAAAGACCTGCAACGCGCTTGATTTGAAGCCTAAGTAAAACGAGCAAGGTTCTAATTGAAGCACGATTTACCAAATGAGGTTTGATAAGCTCGGTGCTCAGTGCTTTTAGATAAAGCCGCCGATCCATTCTATTGTTTGTATTAGAATAAATAAATATTCGACTGTTTATTCCTGCTATATTCATAAGAGAGAAGAATATTGTCAATGGCCACCGGCAACTTATTTGGGAAACCGAATAGGTACTTTTCAGCTGGTCCACTACATCAACTGCGCCTTTTGTAAGGTTGTAAGATGTTATAACCTCTGGTTTACATTCAGCACTTCCCGATTTGGCCCCTTGTGTTTTTTCAATGTTTTTTTGAAGTCTTGTGTTTATGTAAACTGTTCAAGTACCCTACAAGCTTTAAAGACCAACATTCAGCAATATATTGCCAATATAACGCCTACTATGCTGGCAAGACAAACTTCAGAAATCGGTTTACTTAGTGTATGGAGAATGGGGGATGCCGCTGATTTGATTTTCAAAACTATGTAAAACAAAACTTTAGGTATGCTCCTACATTATACGAGTGAAACACATATGAAAATGTTCTGATTCATTCACTGGGTTTTTAAAAAAGAAATCTATGCTAACGCACCCTGTAGATTATATGTTTGGGGTGTAGGTTAAAATTATGTAAAGTCCGAGTATTTAAAGGTTTAATAGCTTTCTTGAGCAACTATTTTAACTTCGTTTTACAGTTGTGATCTAAAATTCATTAACATTCCCAAGAATTTATAGACAAACTCGAACTCAAAATGAATGCTGCAGATCTGTCTGAAGTGTAAACGATCCTGCTCGATCTTCACAACTCTATATTCCATCAGAAGCATCTTCCTGGAAAATAAGTTGTTCAATGATAACATAAAGGAACCTTCAAACATACTTTATTGTTATTTGGTACAATCATAGTAACTATAGTGTGGTGGGACACACATACACACACACACACACATTATATATATATATATATATATATATATATATATATATATATATATATATATATATATATTATATAGGTATGGCAATATAACCAGGGACAAGGGCAACAAAAATAGAATTTCACTGTATGACTTTCGAAAAAACCTTTGTTATTCGAGTGCTCTGCAAAGCCGGACAGAGGGTAAACTGTGTACAGGATATTACTTTAGCGATTGGAACTTTATTGACATCGCAGAAAGTATAATGTTCATAAAAAACTGATCAACTAATGGTATATACTGGAGGCCAATATAAATCGAATGGTTTCAACAACAAAACCAATAAGGTTTGATCCCCTGAAGTTTTTCAATCCGACGCACGGTTTTCGCCTGAAAAAATAAAAGCTATTTCTCTGCATGGTGATGCCATATTAACTATATTGTTATGATCATGCACAGTAAAAAATCAAACCATCAAATTTGCTTATAAATGATTGGAGATTCCAATTATTTTTAGAGAAATTGGTAGCATAGCATTAATATGTCTGTCAAAATAAAGAGGTGAAATTTCCTACGGACGCCACTGGTGGAGTTGTCATCACGAAGAACAATGTTACTCATTTCCGCCAGCCTGTCTAGATGTTTACTAATTCTTGGCCCTTGAATAGCCAGGATATCGCTTGGATTTTGATGAAATTTTCATAGGTTACTGCTATGCCAAAGACGAAAAAACTTTGTAGGTTTTGAAAATAGATCCCGTGGCAGCGGAGATGATAAAAGCCAAAAACTAAAAAAATAAAAATTTCTCTAGCCTCGTTTTTTAACGTTTAGAGGCTCTTGATCATTTTCAGAAAAAAAAAATTGCAGCAGTTTATACGTCTCCAGCCCCGGTAATTCTACGCACCTATTAGGGATATTTCATACATCATAGATTTTCCCGAACATTTGTCCTTTAAGCTTGAATCATACAGATATGTTTTCGATATACGTATGCCGGACAACTTAACGAGCGTACGTCTGTTTGCTTTGAATACTGAGGGACAAATGAATGATTGTGTATGCCACCCTGTTGCGCTGCTACGATGCTTGGTGGTCTTTATTGTCGGTAGGGCGGTAGGCTAGAATGTTATCAAATCTGTGGGGACTATGGACTAATAAATAATTGGATAAGACTGTTAGACAGAGATGTTCCGTTCAATTCCTTTGTTATACATGCTCGTAGCCAACTTTTTTCTAAGAGGGATTAACTTGTGCTGAATCATCCTTCATGAATTAATAATAATCTACTTAATACCATTCTTTTGCCTTGGCGCATAAGCCTAACACAGCATGCTATAACTTTTGTAAAATATAAGCTGTCCAACCGCTCTTCAGTTGTCACAAGGGGTCTTAAAAGCACTGATGCAACATACGCCGCTACACTCCCCTTCGCTCTTCAATTGTCACAAGGGAAGCACTGATTCAGTAAGCACCGCACAACACTTATAAAACTAAGAACTCATCTAGTACAAAATAATAAAAAAATAATAAATCACTATAACTGTTTGCGAACGTCTGACGTTATGGAAGTTTCGTCACAGAAATTAGCGTTTCGGAGCGACATTTGAAATGCAACTGTTTTTTACATTAATTGTACTAAACAAATGTTAATTAATGTTTTCGACTATATAAGGTACTTTCAATTTTCCCAAAAATAGTTAACATCGCTATTGGAAACGTATAACTTGATTTTTTTTATTCATGTTTCAACTGTTTAAGGAGCGGTCGAATCGGCCAGTTCTGGAGGTACGAAGTTCGCCACTATTAGGATGGGACGCCGAAGTCAGGCGGTAGAAGGGAGCTAGATCGTCGACGGCCCGCCGGTGCGAAAGGGTCCCGAAACTGTCTGTTACAGAAGAGTTATCGATCAGTCGGACAGCCCTCCTCTGGACAGCATCGAGCATAAATAATGTGGTCGGAGTGGCAGCATCCCAAACGTGTGAGCAATACTCGAGGCTAGGTTTAATCTGCGCCTTGTATAGAGTGAGGAGGTTATACCATAAACAAATAGCCTAGCTTTTTCTCAGCCGCTGCCGCTATTGCGATGAGACTGGATGAGTTACTCCACAGTTGCGTGACGTAAGCCAGGAGGTCCCCCGTGGATCGCTGGTGCCGGAATCTATTCTGCCTGCCGCTAATCAAGCCGTGATGTTCGAGGTAGTCAAGGAGCTTGCGATGTATGCACCTTTCTATCGCCTTACTTATAATAGAAAGCAGAGCTATAGGCCTGTAGTTGTAATGGTCGGTCTTAGGTCTTTTTTTGGATGGGTTGGACATGAACAAATTTCCAGTTTTCTGGAAAGGTACCGGTTTCGTAAGATATCTGGAAGAGGCGCGAAAGAACTGGAGCAAGCTCCGCTGCACACCTCTTCAACAACGGCGGGAATCAAGTCCGGGGAAAAAAAGTAGTGCTCGTCACGACCTACTGCAACCAAAGCTCATTATGGACATTGAAATCACCGAGGCGATATACCTCTGAAGCGGAGTAACTGATGTTCAGGAAGTCAATTTTGACAGCGAGGTATTCAAGTAGGTTATCCCAGTTATGGTCCGAGGGAGAGCGATAAAGTCAGCAAATACATTTGGGGTATGTTTTGGAGTTAAGGCGAAGCCACAGAATGTCCTTCTGGTCTGATTCCAAAGAAACGTCTCTGGAGCAGGAAATACTACTGCGGACAAAAGCCACAACTCCCCTGTTCTTTCTAAGATTGGAGTGCACCTCGTAATTTGGGAAGTTAAGATGATTAATCGGTGCAGACGCTGAGATTTTTGTCTCTGCCAAGAAAAGCATTGCGGTACGATTGGACTGCAGGTATTGATGAATAACATCAATGTTGCTGTTAATCTCGTAGATATTTGTGAAACAAATTTTATAGTCGATGTTGTTCCTTCGAGTCCACCCTCCACCCGGACATTCCAAGAGTGGAGTGAGTTTATGTTCAGAATCCTTAGTACTCGAGGGATCCATCATTATTGATTTCTTTGTTGGGGAAGATAACCGACTGCGTAGCTTAGGTGTAGAAACATGCGGACATTGATGACACCCTGGTACCGCCTCGATCGACTGGTCCTTGAAAACCTTTTTTTGTTGCGTGGCCGGTTGGCGGACTTGTACCGCCACCCGGAAATCGGTACTGAGGTATTCCTTAACGCGTGTAGAATCACTTGAACGGGAAGAAGTTGTATACAGAAGATGGAACAAGCATTTGCCACGGGCCCGCGCTGTAGGAATAAATACGGATAAATCATCTTAATCTGCATAACTAGTATTCGTAGCATTGAATTTAATATTTCAACGTCACTATTCACAAAAATGTCTAGATCTTCGCCACCTAATAACATTAGATATCAACTATTGATAAATATGCTACACTCATTTGTGTGTGCGTGTGTGTGTTTTTTTTGTGTTTGTTTAACCTATCGCTAATAATCTACAGCCCAAGTAAGGAGTATACACGCAATATCATGAATACCGTGGGACTTTGTTTTGGGTAATAGGTGAAATTTTAATGTATCAGAACTTACACCATACTGCAACTACTATGGCTATTTTTTCCTAGCTTAGACAGCCCATATAGAAAGTCTATATACCATTTTTAATCAGTTTGACAAGTATTGAAGGTTTCTTCTCAGTATATCGGGAAACGTACGACTATACTTACCCTCGTTTGGGTCAACTTGTTTCGATTCACTAGTTTCATCAGTAAAATTGGTTGTTTCTCCTAAATCTGTCGTGTTATCGTCTATTTGGTTCAGTTCTTGGTTCACGCCACATGAGAAGACAAAACTACACAGCGAATGGAAATGTGTTAAAATTACTATGGCATGAACCACCTCTGCCAGCGACCAGTTTTGATTTCCTCTCGTCAGTTCCTAAAACACATTTTATTTTTTAGATCGAAAGAGTTATCAAAAAGTTTTCTATCCTATTCTAAAGCGAGTAATCGAGCAATATTATCACAGTTTTCACAGTAACAACTTTCAGAAAATTAGATAATTTCCACATTTTTTTATGATTTTAAAAAGGTTCTAGTTATGGAACTACGATTTTTTTCATGAAAGATATCCTCCTAATATCATCCCTTCTCAATCGAGTCAGCAAGGCTGAACGGATTTGGATGAAATTTGGTAGAGATAGATTTTAGTCTAGGATAGCACATAGGCTACCTTTAATCCAGCGAAATAGGTTTGAAATATCTATTTCACGGGATACAGCCTGTGACTCAATGGTATTTGACATGACGAGTTTGGCGCGAAAGCTCTTTATCGCTGGACCAACCAAATTAGTAAGTGAATCGTGCATTTACTGCATTTCGACATTCCTTTTCTTAGCGTAATCGTCTTGATTTAGATTTGTTTGGTATTTTGTTTTACTTCAAGTATAATACTGTGAATAAATAGTTAATGGGTTATTTGTTATATGTACAATTGTCAATGCTGTTCGGCGAGGAAAAAATATCAGAAGGTTATAAATCCCAAAATAGTCCTTATTTGATCATGGTTCATTAATATTTTTTAACTACATTATATTTGTATATGATAAAGCAACTATCTAGAAGTATTTTATAGAAAAAATGAACAAAGTATCACCTTATTTATACAAGCAGCTAAAGACCACAGATGAAAAGGTTCGTTTTTTTAAATTTAAGAAAAAATTTAATATCTCAAAACAGTGACACTTTTATATAGGCAAGTTTTTGTTATTCAACAACACGTCCGAACCACAATACGGAGAGTCGTAAAAATTTGTACCTCGACTAATAATAGTAGGTACAAGTACCAAAGCTTCACCGTCAGGGTCAACAGTCAACAGTGTGACCAGTGGAGCGACGCCACTGTTACCCGCAACATCGTAAGCTTGAAACTGTTACTAACATTGGTTTTAAGTAATGCTATGAACTTCTGATCACGTTTTGTATCTTTGATGGTATTAGTAAAATGCTTGGGAAGTTTGTTTACTTCATTAGGAGTGCTACATATACGTTCGGGTAAAAGCGCAATTTTCCATAAAAAAATATTTTTTTTTAAATATAAAGCAAATATTGTCTATATTAAGCCTTATCTTCTACAAGCATATCTCAAAAATCAATGAGTTATGATTGAATTACGGATGCATGTTTACATAAGAATAGATAAGGGCACTATAAAGCTTTTTAAACAAAATATTTACAAGAATTTTTTTTGGAAACCTACAAATTAACATATCTTTTTCTATTTTTTGAAAAAACATTTTTATGTTAAAACATAAGTTTGTGTCGAATTATTAGGTTTTCTTTCAAGGCTCACAGAACTTACCTCTAAATGAGATGTTTTTAATAGCCATGGTCTATGTGCTAACAATTTATTGATTTCATATAGATTTCTTAGTTTCTTAGGTAAATGGTCCAGTCCATTGAGCCAGTCCGGATTGCCTCCCTGAAGAAGGAATTCTTGCTTTTGCAAATTTATTAAATAACTACACTTATGTCTCCCTGCCGCCTGAGAAATAAAAACAGAATAGGTTAAAAGTCAAAATAGATCAGTCGTTTTATTGTTAAAGGGTTATTATGCTCCACCTCAGACGCCCTTGCAATGCTTATCTGATGAACGTTGCTGACAAAAACAGAGCAAGTGACCTCAGTTGGCTTTGTTGACTAAACCTACAGAGTTTATATGTCAAATTATTTTGAGGTTGTACTTCCAGGTTCATACGTTCATCATGTGACAAAGGTTTTAATACAAATGGATCCTGTTGAGCAACGAGCCATGTCTGTGAAAAAGGGGATGGCTGAAATTCATCAAAATATTGTGACGACTATTAATTATTTGACGATTTTTTTAATCGCATTTCATAAGACGTTAGGTTTGGAAGTAAGCTGAACAAAACCTAATCGATGACAGAATTGTATTGGAAGTACAGAACCAATCTACTTGACACCATTTCCTACTCATGTAGCATCGTACAATGTGTATCACAATAAAGCCATTGACAAACCATCACACCATGTTTCGAATGTGATTAATAAAAACTAAGTTTATCTAAGTTTCTTGTCATCAGATTGGCGAAATATTAAATTAAAACAATCAAAATTACTTAACAAGCTCTGAATCATATAGTAACTATTGCAAATACAATCACGATTTGGGAAATGAACTGGAATTAACTGGAAACACTGATATATTATTCAGATTACTTACGTTTGTTGTGTATAACGTATTTATTATTGTTTAACAATATTCGAATGCAAAACAGGGAAATAAAATTGGTCGATTAACTATTTTTAAACCGAGGCTATACATCCGAAATTAATTTTAGCATGCTTTCTGAAGTCTGGACTACATTAGAAATACATTTTCGTGAAAAGCATTCCTTCATAATTATGAAATGATGATGGTTAAATATGGCTATTTTTTTATTTAGCATATTGTAGATCTCAACATGTGGAACAAAAGTGTACATGAGCCCAAATGTTTTATAAGCGTAGTTTTCGAGATTGTGGGATCGTTACATGATATGTAATACGAGTAGTTGTTTGATATTTGTTTTCAACATCAACCCATCTCGCCGGTTTACGGTTTACGATTGTAATTCTAACTATCTCATACAGGATGGCCGAAACTTGCATTGATGTGGAGAATTGTCCCGAGACACAAACTATTTCAAGATTGTCCATGATTATCCTGCTCCATCCATGAGGGAATACATTTCAAAAATGTGTAAAACTGTATAAAGCGTTGCATTACTCAGCTGCCTTTCAAAGTTGCTTTTTATAAATATCTATATTTTTTATTATATGGGCCTAAGTGCTTCTGCGTTTTCTCGAGTCTGCTAGACACATCGCATCGAGTTAAATCAAATCCGATGCACAAATCATGTATGTAAATAATATTAATCAACGACAGAATGACAAAGGAGGCTCCGTCGTGCTAAAAATAATGTATGTTATAATCAATAAAGTAAGAAATCATCCAGATAACCTTTAAATACACTTTTCAAAAACTGAAGTAATTTTACAGTAATAATGTAAACGAATAAACATGTGACAAGCTGTCATTATGAAGGCCAACACTAAAAATCGTTTTTTGTAATGACCGATGTTTTGCAATGTCAATGTATGGCGTATTATAATATTTGTTTGACCCGGAATTAAAAACTCTGTTGATGGGTGCAAAAATCTAATGTGGTGCCCCAAAGGAAAAATAAAGTAGACGATGGAGGAAAAAAAGATCTTAGATTGGAATTCTAATCATTACACCTTCCAGAGGAGAACAATTGCAATGGTAATGTGTAATTTATTTTAAAATACCACCTTAAATGAAAACAGGAAAAAATAGAAGCGATTTGGGAAAAGATCGTATGTTTTCGTCCATCTTCGGAAATATTATGGATTGCAAAACTTAAGTGCCAATTTATTAGTGCAAGTTTGCGCCCATTTAACCGATCTGTTTCCGTTTCCAAGATTCCAACGGTGAGCGTTGAGTTTGAAATAATTTTTGTTCGGTTTACTCAATTTTTCCAAACAACTGCTCCAATGTCGCATTCACATATTGGGTCAACGCAGGCCAACACCAATGTGTGAACACTAAACCAATGTGCATCGGCTGGGGTCGGCTAAGAGCCTTCGCACACTACGTCGTATCGTAATCGTATCGTAATGTAATACACGCGTAGGACGAGAGCAAAACGAGCTCGTAGGTGTGCTAACAAGTCCGCACACGAAGCGGTGGTGCAGCGTAGCGAATGAGATGTTCAGTCGTATTACGATAGTCGTAGCGGTCTGGCGTAAGGCAGGCGTAGAAGCAAGCGTAAAATTAAAAAGTTTTGTTTAATTGCTCTCGATATGGCTGAAATGTCTCCTTCTTCATTCGATAAAAGCTTCGGAATTTATTATCATCTTCTGAAAGTTCACGTGCAGCAACAAACAATCTTTTGTTCTTATTATTTGCGTTGTATGGATGGGTCCAAATCAAACAATAAAAAATCCTCTTTGTCCGAAGAAAATGTAAGATCACTAATGGATACACCAGAAACATCTGGTACCGTTGACGTCATGATTTCAACTGAGATCCTACAAAACGATACGAGTAACGATACGCTTACGAAACGACTACGCTTACGATGCGTGTGCGACGGCCCTTAGGCTTTGCCTACAAAATAACGGACAACATTGTGAATATCTGCTATGATTTACCTTTGCTTATCTATGATTATTATTGATATTACCTTGTTACAAAATGTGGTAGACAAATTTTCAGTTCAGTGTGACTTCTTTCGATTTCCATATCCAACTTTGTTTTTTCATATTGGGATTTTGTACATTAAAATAGAATTTTCAGTCCTAGATTCCGTGATGTACTTCCTTAGTTGACTATGAATTTGTTGTTGGAAAGAAAAATATAACTAAATAAAAAGCCTTGGTGAAACCTGAAGACGAAAATTTTATTGATGGTAATAATAATCATAAGCAGAATGCAGAAGTAAATCATAGCAGATATTCACAAGGCCCATTATTTTCTAACTCTTCTCTGTACATTGTTCAGCGCCCAGTTTATTAAGACTTTGCGATAAATCTGGCATACGAAACAGATGACTATCTGATGGTTCCATGGCTTGCCTAGGAAATCATGTTTTTTTTTTTAAGCTAAGGTTTGGCAATCTCAATGTATCACATATTTGACATTTTTGGAATCAGAATTGACAACTATTAATCTATGCAAAAATCCAATATGGCTTATATAAGACAAAAATTGATGCTGGAGGACACGAGATGAAACGTTTATATTGAAATTCTGATTATGCAGTTTTATAGAGGAGAAGTGGTAATATTAATGTGCATCTTATTTTGAAATCCCACTATGAATAAAGTCAGGAAAGGATCAAAACGATTTTGGGAAATTTCGATTTTTTCCGTCTCTCTCCGGAAGTACTTTGAATTTCGAAACTGTCTAAGTGACATTTTGTTAATTACCTAAATACACAACTTTGCCCCCATTCAAGTGACTTCTTATCTCTTACCGTTTCCGAGATCCTGATGGTGAAGGTCGAATTTGAAACACCGGTATAGTTTTAGGTCGAACCATTATTGAAATTGAGGATAAAATTCAAAATTTGGTAATAATTTTAGATACAGATTTATGTTTTTAGGGTCATGTTCCAAGTAAACTTGTATGAATTTTGAATATAAATCTTTCTGGAGATACAAGAATTTATTGACAAGTGAAATTAAAGCAAGACTTGTTAATTCGCTAATTCTCACACATCTAGATTTGCAGCGTATTACTATTTTCTAACAGAAGAAATGAAGCAGAAAATCCACAGCTATATTGGAAATTCGACCTATTCCCTGAAAGTGGTGATTCTAGAGGTTATTTGTGATAAATTAATTCCCATCAACTGTTGGTCGGAAATGAGCGGTTTCCGAGATATCGGCATTTCAAGATTTTTTAAGAATTTTCTGCTTACTGATCAATACAACTTTTTTTAAAAAAATCTACTCATTTCCTGAAACTGAATTGATGGTTTTCTGAAAGCTGTGAAACTAGCAAATAATTGAGATAAGAACGTTATACCAAAAGTTTGAAACTGTTAGAAATAAAAGGCTGTTAGTGAAGAGATTTCGATTTTTGTTTAGTATTTCCGAAAATCAACATAAGTTATTTGAAATAAAATGTATGATATTCGGCATACATATTATTAAAATATACTAAGTGACATATAAATCCGAACACCCAGTTTAAATGGTTTTATTTTAATAAAAGTTGGTGAATGTATTTATCTTACTGTAAATAACAAGTGAAAACATTTTCAGCCTTATCAGTTGGACATTCCGGTTTTTATATTGCTTTTTTTTAATTCACTAACGCTCTAAAAATGAATATTTCAGCCGCAGTAAAGAATCAACTTTGGCGGATTTTGGTTCTTGACATCCTTTACGATCGGTTACGATACCAGAGTACGGAGACCTGTACGATTTCGTCAACTTAGTGAGTTTGATAGGGGCCGTATAGTGGGACTTCGGGAAGCTGGACTTTCTTTTCGGGCAATTGCAGTTAGAGTGCAAAGAAGTGTAGACACTGTGGTTAGGTGTTGTCAGGCATGGCTTCGAGAAGGCCGTACGCAAAGAGCAAGGGGCACTGGACGCCGCCGTAGAACAACAGACCGTGAAGATCGCCGCCTAAGATTATTGGCCTTAAGGGACCGTTTCTCCACTACCAGGTCCATTGCAAATGAATGGTTTGCAGAACACGGAAGAAGTGCGAAGTGTTTACCGACGAATGAGAAGTTTTGGCTTGTTTTCATACCGGCCACACTGGGTCCTCCCTTTAACTCGAGAACACCGACGTAATCGCCTTGAGTGGTGCAGACAACGGTCACTCTGGGATCAGGAATGGAACAGTATTGTCTTTAGTGACGAGTCTAGATTTTGTTTAGGCATGCACGATGGTCGTGCCAGGGTTAGAAGGCGACGTGGTGAATGGAGGAATCCACAGTTTTTTGT